AAGGGATGAGAAGAGGTAAAAGAAAGAAAGAAAAAAGGAACAAGGAGAAAAGAAGAGAAAAAAAAAACAACAACAATAATAATAAAGAACTAAGGATGAGAAAGAGAGGAAAAAAATGAAAGGAAGATAAAAAGAATAATTTAAAAACAAGCGATCAAAATAAGAATGGTAGAGGGTGGTGTACAGCACCCAAGCTCTGTCAGGGAACAGACAGGATGGAATTCCTGCTGTTCATGAAGGTGAGTGGAGGTGAGGGATAGTTACACCTGTGTTCACCAAGAGTGTGTGTGGTATAAGAGTAGCAAAGGGAAATATCACACCTTTACAGTCATCTGCCTCCAGTGCAGCTGTCTGCTGTCCTCAGAAAGCAGAGCCCACCCCTATGCCACCACCCAGGTAAGAATGCCATTGTGTATATCCAAAATGGTCATGCCCACAACTTGCAAATATTTAAAATAGTTATGCCCTCAAGGATAGCCCCTATCAGTCCACAGGTCTGTTTGTCTCCCACTTCACTGTTTTCTTTTCTGGTTGTCAGGCAACAATGCATTCCTTGCCCATTCAGTCATTAGCGAGCAGAGCTGATTCTTAGGTTGCTACCAGGATATAATCAAAATGCCTGTGCCCTCTGGACAGCCGGCAGTCCATAGTTCCATTTGTCCTCTTACTCCTTACTGCTTTCATTCAGGTCCTTCTACTAGTTGGTATTTAATCCACTTCTATATCTTTCCCTTCAAAGCTCAGGGTTCCAGGATGGTCTTTTGTATCAGTTTTAATTGGTTTCTCATTGCTTTATTGCAGAGGGTCTGTGTAGCTTGTCTGCCTATTCCGCCATCTTGCCAGAACGATCAAACCATGGTATTTTCAATTGACTCATATGCATGTGAAAACTGGACAATGAATAAGGAAAACCAAAGAACAGTTGATGCTTTTGAATTATGGTGTTTGTGAAGAATACCAAAAGTACCATGGACTTCCAGAAGAATAAACAAATCTGTCCTGAAGGAAGTCCAGCCAGATTGGTCCTTTGAAGCAAGAATGGACAGACTTCATTTCACCTACTTTGGTCATGTTGTCAGAAAGGACCATTCTCTGGAGAAGAATATCATGATAAGTAGAGGGTCAATTAAAAAGGGAAGGGCCTCAATAAGATGGATTGACAAAGTGGCTGCAACGAGGGACTCAAGTATAGCAAGGATTATGAGTATGGTCCAGGACAGGATGGTGTTTCTTTCAGTTGTACATATGGTCATTATGCATCAGAGCTGACTTGAAAGCATCTAACAAGCAACAATAGCCATTACCAGAAAAGATTACACAGTCTACATTCTGCGAGTAAGATTTACTCAGTAACGAGATGCCAAGATGCCAAGGTGCACTGGTTGTGTGTCTGGGCTGGAAATCTCCCTTCACTCCAATAAATTAAAACCAATTCAAATTAAGCAATTTCCTGAAGGAATGTACTACAGTCTTAAGGTAATGTAAATTTAAGGATCTCTGATCCCTTAGACAAGGAGCTCTGGTAATGGAGTGGTTAAGTTAATTGATTGGAAACAAAAAAGATCAGTGGTTGAATCCCACTACCCATTCCACAAAAGAAAAACGGGGTAATCTGCTTCTGTAAAGACTGAAAGATTTGGAAACCCAATAGGGTCACTATGAGTTGGCATTGACTCAAAGGCAGTGAGTTTGGTTTTGAGTTTTCTATCCCTTAGACAAATTCATTTCAAATTTTAGCATGCTAAAGAATCATTGGGAGAACTTGTTAAAATACACACTCCTTGGCCTTAGCCCAAAAACTGTTTCAGTAGGTCTGGGGTAGGGCCAGAAAAATAACATTGGTAACACACTCACATGTGATGGTGATGTTGCTGGTCCAAGGACATTCTGAATAGTACTCTCTTAGAGAATCTAATAAATAATACAGAACCTCTCTCAAGAAGAGCACACATAAATGTACAAAGAAAGTTACAATTTTCTATATATTTTGAAGTTCATCCATCAATTCTAGGTTTAGAAACACTGATTAAAAATTACACATCCATGTTAACATTTTTCTTTGTGGTGTTACTATTGCCTTGACATTTGGATCAATTTGCTATACCTAGGATGACACTCATGTTCTTTTATTGTATATAGAAACTTAAGAGCAAATGTGTAACCTTTTGTGATTTAATTAACAACTAAAATTATAATGACAACTATGGGAGAAAGTACCAGCACACTAACAGTCCATTTTTCAATATTATTTTTTCATTAGTAATGCTGTTGAAAAATTCATTAATTTTAGTGCTCACGAAACTATTGATTCATTAAGGTTAGACATAGCCCCTCTTTCCTGATGTGCACAATATTTGATGACTTCTTTCACTGGTTCAATAAATACAAAATGCATACGTGCAATTCAGGCAATTCCCATGTTATTAATGACCTATTCCTAAGTGTGTTTTTAAGTTGAATTTGTAGGTAAGATGGAAAGGTGATTGTGGTGAAGAATTTGTTGCAAGTAGGGATTCATTTAATAATTTCAAAGTAAGGGTAAATATAAATAATATTAAAGGGCAGGTATGAATTTCCCATAAGCGTGATGTTCATAACCCAAGAACTTACTGTATATTCGTGTAGTAGCAAGACTATATTCAGTTACACAAAACCACATAGACTATAGTACAAAATTCTGTATGATGTGGATTTCTCAAAATGTGTCTGTTTTTAGAAAAATCTTTACAATAATCATCAGGATCTGTGATGAAGATGCCATAATAGTGATGCTGTAGGACCTCAGATATGATTATGGCATGCTAGTCTGGTGGTGTAGGGACTAAGGAATTTGACTGTTAACCAGAAGGCTGGCAATTCAAACCCACCAGCCACTCCTCAGAAGGAAGGTTGGGCAATATACTTCCATAGAGATACTGCCTCAGAAACCCAAAGAGGGATTGTTATGAGTCGAATCGACTCGATGGCAGTGAGTTTGGTTTTTTACATAGTAGGCATTGTCCTGAATCTGACTTCTTCCTAGAGTGTCCAATAGGAATTTTACTGATTATAATACCTTGCCTAGAAGGTGGGGAGGGGAAGAAAAAGAGTTAGTCTAATCATTTGTCCTGCTGATTATATATGCTATTTGGTGAGAAAGGAAACTGAAACTAAAGCTAATGAGCATTCTGAAGTTTAGGGATTACATGTGGTTTTCTTTTTTTTTTTTTTTTTTTAATCCAGCCTTCCTCTGTATCTACCATTAATACCACTAATTGAAAGCTTGATCCTTCTGAGAAACAAATCCTGTTGACTCCAATTACAACCAATCCTCTGAATAAAATAAAATTAGACAAGGATTTGGACGAATGAAGTCTATAATTATGATTTAATTTACCTGGGTAAATTTCCATACCTGTGGTGAAAGTAATGGCAGTCTAATGTATGAAAGCAGCATCGCCAAGTCTCGTTGCCGAGCCTGCACATCGTGTCCCACCCACTGCATTAGAGCATGGAAAATAGTTTCTTCATCTGGTACATTAATGTCATCACTGCACAGAAGCTTTGAAATTTCATCAGCTGGAAGCAGAAGGAATTCTTGGTTCTTTATTACCTCGATGAAGTGCTCCTAGAAAAGAAAGTCCTCCTACTGAAACATGGCAATTCAGAAACATCTTAACAAAATGAACTCATCAAAGCGTTTACTGAATTAAACGTCAGAAAAATACAGAGACGCATGCCTATCCATTTATAGAAAATAGGTAGGGGAGACTTCTGAAATTGAGTCAAATGACTCCTCTGTGAATTTTTTACTGAACACAAGGAAAGCCCCTAACTGCTTCACAGGCCTCAAGAGCAGAATTGATAGAGCTGATAGCAGTGTTTTCCCCTCCTTTTCTATTGAATGTGGCAACAGCTCATGACTCCAGTGTAGGCTGAAGTCAACTTGGCCTTTAGCCAAAAACGCTGAGAGGCTGAAAATTTTCAAGGTAAAAGCAATCTTGAAGGCCTCAGGACAGTAGAACCCGTTAGAGATTAAAGTATTGCTCACCTGGTGCCCAGACATATAAATATTTAAAGAGTTGATTAAAAATCTTTTAATTTTTTTGGGAAAACATGGTCTACTGAGCAAGGGCAAAGTATTCTTTTACAAAAACAAAAATTTACAGATTCAGGATATTTATATATCATATACCTCAATTCTTCTTGTGATTGTGTTGTCTCATATTTGATCAATTATGAAATTTCCGGCAGCTCAATTTATTTTTTCATCAAAACACCACTCTATTCCTCTAATTTATGCTTGGTGTATAT